AAAAAAAAAAAAAAGCTAAAGGCATGGCATAGATGACCAAAATTACAAAGGTATATAAGACCAAATACTGATTAGGCAATCCAAGACAAGATAAAGCACACCAAAGTAGGCACATTTTTGGATTGTTGTAGTGGCTAAACCTGCCAACTTGGCTAGCCAGGGTGCTGCCCAGGCTCCTAGTAAAGCACATGTCTAGGCATGTGTGAGAGTGTCAAGGAGACATGGTCTTGGGCCCCATGTCAGAATCGCACCCACTCCTCTGGGGCCCTGCTCCCTTGCTGTGCCTCCAGCTTTCTGATCTAAGGGGTTTGCTCTACCGTGCCGATTGGCCGCCTTCCCAGCTCCCAGGCAAAGGACCATAGACTGAGTCTCCTGAAACCACGAAGCCCAGGAAACCTGTCCCCTAAGTTTGGGTATCAAGTACTGTTCTTAGCACAAAAAAAAAAAAAAAAAAAAAAAAAATCTCTGCATCTCAACAATAAAAACTAATGCAGTGAATCTAGAATTTTATTATAACAACTTGAGCACCAGTGCATGGAAATATATTACACGTCATTATCCTTTCTGCTTTTGATTAAGTAGTGAACTTTAAAATATATTAATGTCATAAAACCAGTAAATAAAAAGGAATGAAATGACTGGATTTATTTGATTAGCTTTCTCTTTGAAGAGGGGGAAGCTGCAGATTTTCTCCCCCGCCCCTTTATTTTTTTTAAATAAGCAAAATGACTTGGATAATATGCAGTGGATTCACTTCTGGAGAAGTCTTTTTCATAGAACATTGCATAAAAATATTGCAGGAGACATTCTAAATAAAGTGTTCTCTAAGTAATCAAAAGAAGTAGTTGAGGAGGATAGGTCCATGGAGTAAGTGTTTGCCTGGCAAGCTCAGGGTCCTGAGTTCGATCCCTGGTACTGAGGAAAAAACAAAAGAAAGAAATTAAAGGAAGTAAATGTGTGTAAATATTAATGTAGGTGGCTAGTGAGGCATAATTCCTTGCCACAAGAATGGGGGACTATGTGCCGCGTTAACCTTTCAAAGTCAAACAACACTTCTGGATGGTTAACAACCTAAATTTGCAGACCAAAATTAGAGAAAAAGGAGGGCTAGAAGGAAAGCCAACATTTTGGCCCTAGCCTTCTAAGGTCAATTAAGACTCAGGACATATGAGAACTTGTACTGTAATGTCATGTACCTTGGTAGTGTCCC